GTGAGTAACAAAGCTACTTCCGTCTGGGTTTCCAGACGTTATTGTCAGGAAGCTGATTAGACTGGGGAAGGTACCAGTTAATGCACCAAACCCTCAACCGCGGCTACTTCGTGTAGTACTCTCTACCCCAGAAGAACGCAACGCTCTCATGCGACTTGCTTTAAGCTGAAAGGTATTAATATTAGTGTTCAGCCGGGCCTTCCCCCGGCCGATAGGCTGAAGCTAAAGGAGGCCATCAAGTACTTCAAAACCAGGCGAGCGGCCGGTGAACAAGGTCACCGGTTAATGGGTTTTGGGGTGGTCAGACGGAGGTCCTTTTCCGCACTACCGGTGCCAGTTCTGATAGCGCATGACCCAGGTCTGGACCTAAGGAATACCTTCAGATAGTATTAAGCAATGTGCGCAACTTAATGAATAAGATGTGGGAGATAGGTCTGCTTGTAGATGGGTCTCATCTCCATATACTGACATTCCTGAAAAGGGGGGGTCTCAAGACATCACAGATGGTGAAGTACATCTACCTGGCTACGCACTATTTAGATGCGATGGCTCCGTTGGTCGGCAGGGAGGGGGCGTCGCTCTTTATGTGAGCTGTAAACGACGTTTTGAAGACTTCATTGGATCATTGGATGATAGAGAGCAGAAGGAAGTTCCTTTGTCAACTCCGTCACTTCCCGATCGTTTCGGAGATAGCCTGCGTCATTGCGGAACAAGGTCGCACAGAGAAGCACTGAAGCTGCATTGGAAACAGCTGGATCCCCGTAAAGTAAAGTGAGAGTCCAATAAATACTTGAAACGTTCCTCGGTCTCGGCAACGACGATGGACTCCGGAAGGCGGTTCCAGTCATTCACAACGCGAGTGGATAAAGCCAGGCTGGATCGCACTCGATCACTCCTCGGTTTGAACAGTTTCAAACTGTGGCCTCTTGTTGAACTCTCTGTGTTGAGATGAAAGAATTCCTGTAATTCCCTCCCCAACTCTCCTCTAAGAATACGTCGGGTGAAGATCAAGTCTCCGCGATGACGACGGTAATCCAGGAAAAGAGGTTCAGTTGTTTTGAGTCGGAGAGAATAGGACAGGTCCCGCAGCTCAGCAACAGATTTGGATCCACGCCGTTGAACCTTTTCAATCATATCACATTCAAATTTCGTAAGAGGGTAGGCGGCAGGTAGCCCGTATTCCAGAAGCGGGCGTACATGTGAAGTAAACAGGAGTCGGAAGATCCCCGGGGTCAGGCGAGAGAAAGCTCTGTGTATAGAGTGAAACATCCTGTAGGCCGCAGCGACATTTTTCTTGGTATCTACATTAGATTTGAGGTCAGACGAAAGTACCACTCCCAAATCCCTCTCCTGAGTGGCGTTTCTGAGCAAGGAACTACCAATATGATAGATTCCAAATGGGACAGACGCACCAACTGGGAGAACTGAACACTTGCTTATTTCAGTCAGCGGACAAAATTATTGAAGTTCTGTCGGCTGTGAATAGCACATCCTCGGCTCAGGTCACAGTTGTAATTGTGTATAGAAGCTTTGGGAGCCTATCCAAAGAGGTACTTGATTTTATTCGCAATTAGATACTTGGTGATGGGCGACTTCAACCTCCCGGAGGTTTTCTGGGCAGATCTTTCTTACAACTCTGCGTCAGGCACATTCGGCACTGATCTACCTGAGCTTACGCTCCCAGTACTGTTGCATCAGTTGGTTGACCTCCCCACTAGGTACATAGACGCCCAAGTACCGTCTATCTTGTGTTTGTTGAGGCACTCGATTTTGTTGGTGACATTACTTACGGACTTCCACTGGGTTCTAGTGATCATGTTTGATTGCGCTACAGTTGTACTTTGTCTAGACGCTACCAGAGTACTGTTGAGTTCAGTTCAGTTCAGTTCAGTTCAGTTCAGATGGGGACTGGAACGATAGGAGAATCCCGTGAGTGTTCCATCTTGAGTGGATCGTTGAGCCAGGAATTGATGAAGTGCTCAGTTATTGATGGATCTAAAACGGAAACACCCGTATCGCACCCTGGCCAACCAGTTAATGCCCACGTTTCCTGCCCTAGCAGTCCCTGCTTTGGCAGTCACGTGAAATAAGCAAAGGATAGGAAGAGAAATCGAAGGTACAGAATAGGGAAGTGCACTTAAATAAGAAAATAATACCAATACGTGAAGAAAAGTAGAGAAAAGAAAATCGAAGTACGAAGATGCGAGTTACTCAGGAAAATGGAAAGGTTTCGTGTTGCCACCCAAGAGCGTCAAGTTGCCGCTCAAACCCCTTAACCGTAGATTCCCTGATAACACTTTCCGGAAGCATGTTCCAGCGGTCGATAACTCGGCGTGACAGCCGGATTTCCGCCCTAATCCGATCGGACCGCGGTTTGTCCAGCTTCAACGAATGACCGCGTAGAACAGACAATCTAGCGGGACTGAATAGCCAAGATAAATCTGGACCAACCTTCCCAGTCAAGATACGGTAGGTTAGGATTAGGTCTCCTCTAAGCCTTCGGTAGTGCATAGAATGCATTCCCAAACTAAGTAGACGCTCGGGGTACGTCCGTCCCCGTAATCCCTCGACTAACCTAGTACCCACTCGTAAAACCCTCTCCAGCTCCATTTTGTCCCGGACGAGGCAGGGCGGACAAGCCTGGACGCAGTATTCCAGATGAGGGCGAACGAAAGCCGAGAACAGCCTCGTAAAGATGCCGCCCGTCAAGACTCCGAAAGAACGTCGGATTAACCACAACATGCGGAAACCTCTGCTTGCGGCCTTCTTCCAGTTGTCGCCGGAGTGTAAAGCCGAAGAGTGTACGACGCCTAGGTCAAGCTGGCTAGATACACGGGGGAGTTCGACCCCACCGACCAAGTACTTCGCAGGAGGACAACCTCCTCCAATTCGAAGAACGGAGCACTTTGCCTGATTTATGGGCAGTAACCATAAAGTAGACCAGTCCCAAAGCTTATCCAATGCTCGCTGAATAGCTTCGGAACCCCCAGGAACATCAACAATGTTCCACAGCTTCAGGTCATCAGCAAATAGCAGCGATGGTACCTCAAGCTCCGTGGGTAGGTCATTCACATAGATAGAGAACAACAGCGGTCCAAGGACCGAGCCCTGCGGCACGCCGCTGAGGACAGATTGCCTAAATGATAGACCCCGGCCTACCCGTACACATTGTTCTCTACCCTCCAAGAAGGCAGTCACCCAATGAAGGGCGCGGCCAGATACCCCGTAGGAGGACAACTTTTGCGCGAGCCTCAAATGGGGTACCTTGTCAAATGCCTTCGAAAAGTCGACGAAAAGCACGTCCAGTGTGTGGCCGTTATCCACTGCATCCGCCCAATTTTCGCGAGCTACCAACAGATTCGTCAGACACGAAAATCCCTTCCGGAATCCGTGTTGTACATTGCTAAGTAGATTAAATCTACTTAGATGACTCTCCAATGAATCTCTCACCAGTTTCTCGAGGAGTTTGACTACTACACTCGTCAGACTAACTGGCCTGTAATTTGCAGGCAGACCCCTGTCCCCATGTTTAAAGATGGGACAGATGACAGCTTCCTTCCACTCGGAAGGCAATGCACAACTGTCAAGCGATTTCTGAAACACAATAGTGAGCGGTCCACTTAGTTCCGCAGCCAACTCATGCAACAGTTTCGGGTGAATTAAATCAGGCCCAGAGGCCTTAGAAGGGTTCAGCCCTTGTAACAGCCTACGAACTTCCGTCGCCGCTACAATAAATTCAGATAGTTCTGAACCCTCTGGGGTCCTGCAAACCAGCTCAACGCCTGTCAAAGAGGTTTCCCTTACAAACGCTGCCGCATATTGCCCACTGAGTACGCAGGCCTTGTCATAATCCGTATGCGCATGAGTACCGTCATCACGCATCAACACTGGAATTGACATGTTCGAAGCGCAGCGCCTTTTGACATAAGCGAAGAATCTTTTTGGATTCTCTGAAGCATCGTCCGCTAACCCTTTTTCAAAATTGAGCCGAGCATCCCTTAGGTGTTGCTTACACCTATTTCTAGCTTTACGGTACCTGTCATAAGTATCGGTGGACGGAGCGTCTCGGTAAGTCCGCCAACATCTAGACCTCTTTGTGAGCAGATGCCTGCCAGTGGGATCTATCCAGGGCGGCTGTGCTCGGGCCTCCTTTCTCCTTGTGACTGGTATGAAGGGAGCAGAGACCTCTGTGAGGTAGGACTTAAATTTATCCCAGGCAACCTGGACAGTATCGTCGTCTGAGATCTCACAATGGAAACCAGAAGCCTTGGCTCTCATTGATTGATAGTCTGCTTGCCATATGTTCGGGCGAGACTCAACCGTACTCTGGTAGCGTCTAGACAGAGTACAATTGAAGAGCAAACAAACATGATCACTGGAACCCAGTGGAGGTCCGTAAGTAATGTCATCAACAAAATCGAGTGACTTAGCGAATACAAGGTCCAAAATAGACGGCACTTGGGCGTCCATGTACCTAGTGGGGAGGTCAATGAACTGGTGCAAAGATACTTGGAGCGTAAGTTCAAGCAGATCAGCGCCAAATGTGCCTGACGCTGAGTCGCAAGAAAGATCTGCCCAGCAAATCTCTGGGAGGTTGAAGTCGCCCATCACCAAACACTTATTTGAGGACTGGGAGCGGATGAATTCAAGTACCTCTTTGGATACGCTCCCAGGGCTTCTATACACAATTACAACTGTAACCTGAGCCGAGGAGGTGCTAATAACAGCCGATAGAGCTTCAACAGTTTTGTCTGCCGACTGAAATAAGCAAGTCTTCAAAACGTCCAGTTTACAGCTCACATAAAGAGCGACGCCCCCTCCCTGTCGGCCAGCAGAGCGATCGCATCTAAATAGTGCGTAGCCAGGTAGATGTACTTCACCATCCGTGATGTCCTGAGACAGCCACGTTTCAGTGAATGCGAGTATATCGGGATGAGACCCATCTACAAGCAGACCTAACTCGTACACCTTATTCCTTAGGCTGCGCACATTACTTAGCACTATCTGAAGTTTTTCGTTAGATCCAGACCTGGGTCGTGCGCTACCAGTACTGGCACTGGTAGGGCGGAAAAGGACCGCCGGCTGACCACCCGAAAACCCACTAACCGGAGACCTTGTTCACCGGCCGCTCGCCTGCTTTTGAGGTCCTTGATGGCCTCCCTTAGCTTCAGCCTATCGGCTAGCGGAAGGTCCGGCTGAACGCTAATATTTGTACCTTTCAGCTTAAACGCAAACCGCATGAGAGCATTGCGTTCCTCCGGGGTAGAGAGTACCACACGAAGTAGCCGCGGTCGCGGGTTTGGTACGTTAACTGGGACGTTCCCCAGTCTAATCAGCTTCCTGACAGTAACGCCTGGAAAACCAGGCGGAAGAAGCTTCGTTACGCACATTTTAAACCATTGAAGGTCGTCCAATATGCGATCAGCGGGAAGGACAGCAGTAGATTCAGCCGCGTTACGGAATATAACGCTACTATCCGTGAAAGAATCGCCACGACGGGGTGTATTAACCCCACGGGTCTTTGATTCGGCACTCGGAGCAGGTGGCTTCACTACTGGTGATGGGACTGTCTTTAGCCCCTCCGATGATGTAGCAACGGCAGCGTATGTTTTTCGCTCCATTGTCGATGTCTTACTTTTGTTAGGGTCATCGATTTCACCGGAAGGCTTTATAGCAGATTTTATCTGCTTTTTCTTCTTGATAACAGGAGTAGGGTCCCGTGAGGCTTTTCCGCTTTGAGCAGAATCAAGCACACCTTCAGAATATGTCTTCTCGGTGAGAACCGAGATTTCCGGCAACTTCGGCTGATAAGTAGTGCGTGTTGTGATCTTCGCCTTCGCACAACCTTCAGACGGTTTGCCAAGTAACGACACTTGGCTTGTTTCCGGTGCCGAGACAACTTCTTGTTTAGCAGAGAGCTTACGAGGTTTCCTGGCTCTTCTTCGCTTAACTCGAAGTGACCCTTGAACCAGCAATTCGGCGTCGATCAGCGTAGGTGTAGATACGACGTCCGAAGCTGCTTCATTTTGGTGGTCGGTAGCCATCTGGACCGGTGACATAATGATAGGTGCCACAAGCTGATCATCGGTGTAAGCGATCAAATCTGCTTTGTTGGAGACCGGAAGCGTCGTCATAAGCAGATCAATCTTATAGCGAAGATCAGAGAGCATCGAGAACGAACGCTCTACATTTCGCAGCCGGGTATCAAGAGATTCATCTCTCGTACGAAAGGCTGAGCGGCCTTGCCGGCGGCTGCAGCAATTGGCACAACTGAACAGCAACATTTCGCTAGAGGCCAGCGCTGCGTACTGCTCGGTATTTAGCTCCGTACAAAGCTGATGGTACCATCGGTTGCAGACATCGCATTGCATACCGCCTGAATCGTCAGTTACTGGTACATTGCAGCTTGGTCCGCCACATAGTGCGATAACCTCAGAATCCGAGCCATCAGGAACAACAGCCTCGGTGCATTGCGAGACCGACATAGTGGAAAACAGAGTGATTATAACACGTATGCAATAGATAAATGACCACAGTAAAAAGGCAAAAAACTGGGTGCAAAACGGGGTTAAAACTGGGAAAAACTGGAAAAATTACCAGTAAGCGCCAAAGACGCTTTGACCAGAACCACTTTAATCGATCCAAGATATCTTGGATCAGAGGAAATTTGACAATAGTCAAATTTCGTTTCAAGTGTTTATTCAAACACTGTTTTCCACGTTAATTCAACTAAAAATCTCGATCAGTATGGCACGCCAGAAAGTCAAGTTACCGCGTAGCACTCACAGTGAGAAGAATTTATTGATGAAAAGTGAAAAAGCCCACGAGGCTATCCAAGTAACGTAATCAGAACCGTTAGGTCCGCCGTACCAAGGGAAGTGAAGCATCAGAAGTCCAAATGAATTCAGTTAATACGAGTCCGACCAAGGGGTACTGGATTAATCGGCGCTTCCTGTCTAGGCGTACAATGCAGATAAGTAAGAGGCTACAACCATAACGAGGGAACAAGTCTATCAGACCCTCAGAGTAGGGGTAACAGAGTTAACTCTGCGGAGCCTACACCGTTTAAGACTTGGTAGCATGGGAGCAGTCAGAGAGAAACAGACTAGTCCAGTGCGACTGGATCACAGCAGGGCAGTAAAGTTGGCCGTCCGATTAAAAAAGGAAATGAAAACAGAAAGAGAGAGAAGAAAAGGTTAGGGTCCGTATGAGAAAGGTTTACTGATAAGGAGTGGGGGAGCCCTCCAGGCTTTCCAGGTGATGTAAACTAGACGTTGCGTCAGACGAACCAGGGTTCGTAACTTCGAATACCTCAGTAAAACTGAAATGCAAGTGGCCCATCCGGCGAGACCGGATTAGTCGGCGCGTAGAAATAGCACGTAAAAATAAAGGCAGGAAAAGGTCCGCAACAATAGAGGATGAGCGAGTCAAGCAGAATCTCCGGGTAGGGGAACAAGAGCGCTGAGTCTGCATGGCGTACACCACTTAAGCTCAGTCTGCGAATAAGTGTTTAGTTCTAGGGGATTTCAACCTCCCGGAAGTCTGTTGGGCCGATCTTTCTTGCAATTCGGCATTAGGAACATTCGGTGCAGACTTCCTTGAACTGACTCTCCAAGTGCCTTTGCACCAGTTCGTTGACTTTCCCACTAGGTATATGGACAACCAAATACCATCTACTTTGGATTTGGTTTTCGCTAAGTCCCTGGACTTCGTGACTGACGTTTCATGCGGTGCACCTCTAGGGTCCAGCGATCACGCATGCATATCCTTTCGATGTGCTCTTTCAAGGCACCAAGAGACCGCTGTTGAATTACTTCCGAATATTTGGCGGGCGGACTTTAGTGCAATGCGAACTAAGGCTTCAGTTCTGAACTGTGAGATCTCGATGGCTGACTCTGTCCAGTTAGCCTGGGATAAATTTAAGGCATACCTTACGGAGGTTTCCGCTCCCTATATTCCACTCATTAGGAAAAGAGGGTTAAGGGCACAGCCTCCATGGATAGATACCACAGGCAAGTACCTACTCAAGAAACGGTCTAGATGCTGGCGAACCTACCAAGCAGCTCCATCAGCCAGTACCTATGATAGTTATCGAGAGAATAGAAATAAATGTAAGCAACATCTCAGAACTGCTCGTCTCCAATACGAGCAGGGTTTAGCGGACTCGGCCGCAGCTAATCCCAAGAAGCTTTTTGCTTACGTTAAAAGACGCAGCGGGGCAAAACTGTCTATACCAGCTTTATTGCGAGCAGACGGGACCCGTGCGCAAACTGACTATGACAAGGCTTGTATACTGAGTGATCAGTATACTGGGTCTTTGCTCGGGAGACCTCTTTACCACAGGTTGAATTGGTTTCAAGAGTTCCAGAGGATTCTTGCTTAGCTGAATTTAGCATAACGGAGACTCAGGTCTTCGAGCTACTGCAAGGCATTAATCCCTCTAAAGCTTCCGGTCCTGATTCAATTCATCCGAAGCTGTTGCATGAACTGGCCACTGAGCTGAGTGGTCCGCTCACGTGCGTATTTTCAATATCGCTGGACAGCTGCAGCCTACCTTCGGAATGGAAGGAGGCAATCATCTCTCCGATTTTTAAGGGCGGTGACAGCGCTCTACCCGCGAACTACCGGCCTGTCAGTTTGACAAGCGTAGTAGTCAAGTTGTTCGAGAAGCTGATAAGGGATTCAGTGGAGAACCACCTGAATCGATTCAACCTTCTCAGTGTTGCACAACATGGATTCCGCAAAGGATTTTCATGTCAGACTAATTTACTTGTAGCTCGTGAAAGCTGGGCCGAAGCGGTAGACAGTGGCCACGCTGTAGACGTGCTATTCGTAGATTTTTCGAAAGCTTTTGACACTGTTCCACATCTTCGGCTCTCACTAAAGTTGAGATCTTACGGGATATCTGGTCGCGCCCTTCAATGGGTGTCTGCCTTCCTTGAGGGGAGGGAACAGTGCGTACGGGTGGGGCGTAGCCTTTCGCTCAGGCAAGCTGTCCTTAGTGGCGTTCCGCAGGGCTCGGTATTGGGGCCATTGTTGTTCGCGATCTATGTAAATGACTTGCCGGGAGAGCTAGGGGTGTCATCATTAATGTTTGCTGACGACCTTAAGCTCTGGAATATTGTGGATATCCCGGGGGTCCTGAGGCAATTCAGCGTGCCTTGGATAGGCTCTGGGAATGGTCTATCTTATGGTTGATGCCCATAAATAGGGCCAAGTGCTCTGTTCTCCGAATCGGAGCTGCTAATCCTCCCACCCGATATGTTGTCGGCGGTGGTGAACTCCCTGTTGTCACTCAGCAGGTTGATTTAGGAGTCGTACACGCATCAGCACTTCATTCTGGAGACAACTGGAAGAAGGCTGCTTGTCGAGGGTTTCGTATGATGTGGTTTATCCGCCGCTCTTTCGGAATCTTAACGGCCAAGTTGTTTGTGAAGCTATTTTCGGCATTCGTCCGACCCCACCTGGAATATTGTATTCAGGCTTGTCCACCATGTCTTAACCGAGACAAAATGGACTTGGAGAGGGTGTTACGAGTGGGCACTCGGTAGTGCATGGAGTACATAGACGGACGTACCCGAGTGTCTACTTAGTTTGGGATGTATCATGCACTACCGAAGGCTTAGAGGAGACATAATCCTAACCTTCCTTACTCCTTGGAACTTGGTCCAGATTTATTTCAGCTATTCAGTCCCGCTAGATTATTTGTTCTACGCGTTCATACCTTGAAGCTGGACAAACTGCGGTCCGATCGGATTAGGGCGGAAATCGGCTGTCACGCCGAGTTATCGACCGCTGGAACATGCTTCCGGAAAGTGTTATCCGGGAATCTACGGTTAAGGGGTTTGAGCGCAACTTGACGCTCTTGGGTGGCAACACGAAATTTTTCCATTTTGTTGAGTCACTCGCATCTTCATACTTCTATTTTCTTTTCGTTACTTTTCTTCATGCATCGGTATTATTATCTTATTTAAGTGCACTTGCTCATTTTGTACCTTCCTTTTGTCTTGATATCCTTTGCTTACTTCACCTGATTGTCACAGCATGGACTGCTAGGGCAGGTAACGTGGGCATCGACTGGTTGGGCAGAGTGCGATGCGGGTGTTTCCCTTTTAGATCTATCAATAACTGAGCACTTCATCAATTCCTGGCTCAACGATCCACTCAAGATGGAACACTCACGGGATTCTCCTATCGTTCCAGTCCCCATCTGAACTGAACTGAACAAAGTCCCTCCAGGCCAATTTTTCATGTCAAAAATCTGCCCACTCCCTGTTCTCTGCGGGGTATTCGCTGATGGGGACGCCGAGTGGTAAAAGCCGCAAAGTAGCTGTCTCGCTGTTGCCGCCTTATTTTTGCATGATAGCCAGCTATTTTGACGGTTATGTTGTTGACAAGGTGTAGACGCTTTGTCCTTGCATGTTTCTTAGGGCATTATAGTTGTTATTTTCCTTGTATGTCATTGAGCTGCCCCAACTGCTGGAGCTACCATCTCTCATGTTTGGAAATGACATAGTTTTGGCACATAGTGTCTGACTTCGATGGACCCCAGACTCTGCAACGGGCCCTCGATAAACTTTGGGACTGGGCTGCTCTGTGGCAGTTGCCCATAAATTATGCAAAGTGTTCCATCTTACGAGTAGGGCCAAATAGCCCCCAAACGCGTTATTTTCTTGGCGGTAATGAACTACACCATGTTACCCAATTGGTAGACCTAGGGGTCACATTGTCTTCAGAACTTAAATCCAGTGAGAACTGGAGGAAAGCTACGTGCAAGGGTTTCAGAATGTTGTGGATGATCCGCAGGGCATTCGGGACCATCACGGGCGCTATGTTTGTTAGGTTATTCTCAGCGTTTGTCAGGCCACACTTGGAATACTGCATCCAGGCTTGTCCACCTTGCTTAGTAAGGGACAGGATGTCAGTGGAGAGAGTGTTGAGAGTTGGAACCAAACTGGTCCATGGACTGCGGAACCATTCTTACCCAGAAAGACTACTTGCGCTGGGAATGTTCTCGATGCACTATCGTCAACATCGAGGCGACCTAGTCTTGACCTATCGTATACTTACCGGTAAAATCGGACCCGATTTATCCGGGCTTTTCCAACCGGCTCGGCTTCCATCGCTCCGAGGTCACTCGCTGAAGCTACACAAACCTCGATCGGATGGAGTCCGGGCGGACTTTCGTTTATCACGCCGAGTGGTGGATTCCTGGAATGCACTGCCCGAGAACGTGGTATTGGCACCAACAGTGAAAGAGTTCGAACACCGACTCGACGCTCTTGGCCTTCAATTCTTAACATTCCCCTTCACGTCCTAGCTTATTCGTCTTATTGAATTATTAAATCTATTACGTTTTTTCTTGACGCTCTTATTACTTTCGTACTTCTCTTTCTTATTTCACGTGACCGGTGCGGCGGGGACTGCCAGTGCAGGTCGCGTGGGTATTAATTGGTTGACCGTGGTGTGATTCGCGCGCGCTGAT